TTAGATCTCTAAAAACATCTCAATAAAGCTTTGGTGTGGCGAATATGTTCCAGTGAACAGGAGCCAAGTATGAAGTCTTTGATATGCACATAACAGCTATCTGAACCCCGCTTATAACCATGTGCATACAACTTTCAAAGGTTTAAACTAAATTTCTCAGCCCGGAATGCTTTCGAATGGATTTCGAGAGGGAGAGAAGTGTGGTGACCGTTGTCTTTTATATATCTTTAAATTCTATAGAAACTTGATGACAGAGCCCAATTAGTCAATATCTTTAAAAATATGTTTTTCTGTTCAAATGAGAAAAAGAACTGAGTGAATTCGGAATCACGTATTAGTCTGAAAACAGTGACCTCTTTAGTTACCTCGAGTCGCCCTATAAATCATAGCTATGATTTTTTGTCTACCAAATGTGAAAGGAGAGCATATTGACTCCTAGACTGTTAAATAATGTTTATTCAAATCATGTTCAGACTTTCTTTAACATGACTAAGTTTGTCAAGCAGTTCATGCCATAATCCCGTCTAAGAAAGCTAACGTACTGTGCCGATTCGATCTCAATTATTGTGTAGCACGATTCGCTCTTTAGTTCGGTTTGACTAATTGGTCAAATCACTTCAGTGTCATTTGTGGGTATGAGTCCCCGAAAACTAATTTTTTACGGTGAGATAACTTCATGGATTTTAGATCGAGTGGTATGAATGGGCTGCTTATTCGTAATATCGCCTAGATCATCTAAATCTATGAAACTTGCAGGAATGCTTAGTACTTATAAGAAAGCCATTGAAGTTGAAATTACCTTAGCACTGCACCGTCTAGCTAGTACGACTTTATAACCTTTCCATGCTTTACGTGATCTAAAAATAGAGGGAGTATGTTGTAGCTAGTGCATTGAAACCTGAGCTAACATTACTGTACACGGGTGTTTGGTAATGTCCAATGGGCGACAGTCTAGACAATCGACTGCATTAAATCTAGTCAGTTTGGTAGTTATTTGTGGACTCGTATATTTTGTGACTCGAGTGAGTTCGTCTACTTCAAGGTAGCATACATTCTGGGCATCACTAGCTATCAAATTACCAGGCAAGAAGTGCGTCAGAGACAGCTGGTTCAGGCAGAGGATGATGGTCAGTGGTTGAGTAAGTACTTGTCAAGTCTCCTCTTGGTTCTATTTACTGAAGGGGAACTGGTTTCCTCGGTTTGTGAATCATTCAAATCGGAAGCAATTCTTTATCTGATAAAGTGGGGGCGTACCTGAATTTCTGCTGTTTGATGAATACCTGTTTTGGGGTTGTCTTGAGAAGCGCAGTGGTGAGGTGCTCATGTCGGGGCAACTTGTAGTACATAATGTGTTCTATCTCATAATCAGATCACCCCTTATTGTCTTAAAGTTCGGAAACAAATGTCCTAAGTTTTGGAGTCTGTTCTCATTAGACTGATGTTTGAGACATACTAACCACTTAGTTCTCCATCTGCATCTGACCTAAGAGATATAGTCTCTTCTGAAGACAGGGAACAACGACGTTGAAAACATCTATGTGGGGCTTTGCGTACGTTCTAAAGAGCTAGGAAAAGCTCTAGGGTGATTGCGCTAAGTTGTCCTCATACAAAGCGGTTAATTGCATTTGCCTAGGCTGTGTCCGCTATATAATTTGAGATAGTGTCTAAATTCTCTGTGATCACAAACCCAAAACCAAACATTTTGGTTGAAAATCATTCTGTATATTCCTTTACCTTCGTAACTTTATTCCTGCTGTTTCAAAGAGACTGGTATTTTTCTGGATTTCTTAATTTTTGGTGTGTCCACACCAGAAATTCTGCATCACATGAGTTTGTTTCAGCTTAGGTTCCAAAAAAGAGCTATCCTGTGACAAGTAATAATATATTTCCCCAGTTTTTTTAAACTGCTTGAACTTAACGTTTTATCCGAAAAACATTGTTTTATTTAAACTCTTTTCCTGTCGTGGTTTATCCAGTTTTTTAGAGTTATCATCCAAGATTTTCCAACGTCTATGGGTTATGGTAAAAAGGTGGTTGCCAATGTAGCGGTAAATAAATCCCCAAACTAAATAGCCCTGTAACTCTTCGACATTGGATGCCGACCACATTAGTTCTAACGGACTCACCTAGTTGAAGGCGCTCGGTCAGGCATCCTCACCAGATCACGAGTGGAAACGCCGTGCTCCTAGCCAGATTAGATCAGTCGATTCACGATATATTGATATCCTACCAAATATATCTTCGAGCCTCCTCGCTTCTGTCTTTTGATTTCAGTTGGTGGGTACGATATATATTAGGTGTTAAAGCGTTGTCAAACTCCAATTACCTGTGGCGTCTTTCCCACCGTCCAATTATTCTGTATTTAGTGTAGAGCACTATTCACTAAGATAAATGCAAAGGTTATCGTGAAACCCTTACAAATCGTATGCCTCGAGAATTTGAAAGTTTTAATAAACCAGGATAATCTTGCATATGTCAGCAATGCGTTTAGAAATTAATAGCTTATCTTTAGGAGCTACGATGGCAGTGCAGTTGAAAAGAAAGCGCAAAAGTGAAGGAAACATCACTGATGTACATAGCCAGGTATCATTCGACAGTTTATATCCCTCCAATACTGTAACAAAAACGTTGCTGATTCTATACGTAAACCATAGTATATAATGTTTTGAAGATTTCGCGATATCAACTGTTGATAGGAACAAAGGTGCAAATACGTAGGAACCTCACTATGCACTGAAACCCGTATCTAATCTGCCATTACTGAAAGACTACCTTGTGGAAGTGGAACCTGTGAACCAAATGGCAACTCCTAGAAATATAACGTGAAAGTCATTTGTTAATCTAGTTTGCCTCAAGTTAAAGTGCAAGAGGAACGAAGTTCCACTGAATAGATCCAATACTCGATTTACTTATGGGTGACTTAATTCTGACTTGCACATGTACGGGCTACAGACTGGAAAAACCTAAGGATGTGTGTCAGATTGCCTAGACGATATTTGTTAGTGAATAAAGTTTACAAAGGCTGAGAACACCGACTTATATCTAACGTCGACTAACAAGTATGACTGCAACGGCTTTACCTTTACAGATCGAGGGCATTAAGCTCACGGTCAACAGTAAACTTGGTACAGAATAAAAGATATCGGTATAAAGCTTTGAGGTTTTCAGATAGATCAGCCTAACATAGACGGTTTGGTGATTTTAATGAATTTTCACGGGTATTTTTCCTTATTTTTTCGTGGGCATAATGCTCCCTGTTTTCCTTTACTGAATGATGAGGCACCTGTGTTTGATTAAAGTCAACCCACACTCCGCTTGCTCCAGTTCATGCTGTGATTAACGTTGAGACGAAGCCATTCAAGCTCTCTGTGACTTCAAGGCTTAATGATGCAACAAAGTTGTATCCTACAGATCCGCCGAGCAACAAATGTACAACTTGCTAATAAATAATAGTTACAACACCAAGCATATTATCATAAGGTTAAATGATCATGAGTATTAAGTAATATATTAATGAGGTTCAGTCATAATGTTTCTGAATATAATGCTCCGAAATTGTGTTAAGTGATAAGCTTTACCTCAACGAAGCCTCGGTTATGACGGATCAGACAATGCAAGTCGATTCGGCTATTTCAAAAAAAGTACTAATTATGTCAAAATCCACTTCAGCGTTGGGAGCTGAAAAACTCGTCCGGACGAAATGTAATTGACGCCATAATCTCATATCCCTTAGTGTGGTAGTTAAAATACTATGAAAAACGAATCAAAAAGACTATAGTGACCTTTTCGGACGTCACAACTTGTTAGACAGAGAACAAAATGGTTTCAGAAAAGGTTCGCCTTGCACAAAAAATCTTTTTATGGCAAGTGAGCAATAGATAGAGGCTCTAGATAATAGAAAATCAGTGGATGTTGTCGACATAGACTTCAGAAAAGCACTCGATAAAGTATCAAAAGTAGAGTATTCTAGAATCTGAAAAATTTAGGCATTGATAGACCTATCCTAAAATGGATTATGGATTCCTTGGTAGGTCGTACACAGATAATAGGAATGGATTCCAAGTGCTCCTCCTAGAAACCAGTACTGATGGAGTTTCATAAGGCTCTGTCCTAGGTCCGTTACTTTTTATATTGTTCGTCGATGAGAAATAACAGGAGACCCAGATTCATGTGCACCTGAGACAGACTTAAGTATTCTGATTAACTGGTCGAAGAAGTGGGTGATGCCTATTAACGCGACCAAATGTGTCTTCATATACTTTAGGGATGCAAAGGTAGACAGGTACAGCATAGGGGAAGTGCCTGTACCCGTAGTCTGGTCACACAAGGATCTTAGGATGACGGTGAACACTATCAGCTGATCACTTTTATAGCATGAAAGCATAATGTTTCCTCTGTCACTTCAAAAAGATAAGAATGCTATGACGCGTATTGAAGGGGGTTTAAAAAATCAGTTCACGGGATTGAATTCAAGCAGTAAGTTACTATATTTTTACCCTTTAGAAAATAAGCAATTCGTGAATGAAATTTTTATGACTTACATAATACGAGGCACAACTGGGTATCCTCTAGAGATTCTAGTTAAGTTCTATTCGAACAGGAACCTTGATGGCGATGACCAGAAACCCGAGGTGCAATACAGCAGACTGGAATGTAATCGCAACGCCCCCACGAGTCTCGGGACTCAGTCTTCCGATTTGGTCCAAGGCACTTTTTTAAAGAGTCCCTAAAGAAGAAACCTAATACAACACTAATTTACTGATCTTTCCCTTGCCTAAGTTTGTCTCATATGAGAGGTGTCGGTAAACTGTTACTATTCAGCATACGAGCTCATCAAGCGAAAACCGAGGTTTTGGAAGTAGTGAGATTATATGGAAGAGAAGACAACAATGGAAAAAGTGAGCACGAAGCTCAGCTAACACATAGAATGAACTTACATCTAATAACGTGAGTGACTAATAACAATCAGAAATAACATGTGCAATCTGATTATTAAAACAAGAAATTGATAGTTTAAAGTTTCGAACGTATTGCGCTACACTCTGGGGTTGCTTAATGGCGAAGGTTAACATTTGTAATGTTGAGGTTTTGGACAACCCTGCTTCATTCTTTGATCCATTTAAGTTCCGTATAACGTTTGAGTGTCATGAACCTCTAGATGATGGTGAGCCCATATACTTTTTTGATGATCAGTAGTAGCACCAAATTGTTATTTCTCTTTGCTTTCTTCGTCATGAAACTAAGTTGATATCTAGTAAACGACTTTTTGGCGTATCAGTATACATTTTTATGCCACAACTTAAAATATCAGCAGCCAACAACACCTCATACTCATTTATCACGATCTTCATAACTCAAGCGCCGCCGGCGGCCGTGCGATTCTAAAATCTTCAGGAAATGGCACTTGGAGGTATAGTAAAACTATCCTTAAAAAGTAAGGACGATTTCATAAGGCAATGGGATGCCGATCCTAGGATATTCTGTCACCACATAGAGGTCTTTTGCGATGTCGTAAGCTGTAAAGATGTACAAGTTATCCTGGTATTTGAAGAAGTGCATGTAAAAAGTACTCGAAACTCTGATCTGATGTTGACAGTTTACCATCCCTGTCATTAAAATGTTATTAGAATTGTCATTTCAGGAAATAGCTTGTGTTCTTTCCCGCGTCGGAATGTTCATTTCTCACTTCATTTTTATCTTGAGTAACATCATAGCAAAACACTGAAAGGATAAATCACGATGATTATAACAAGCGGTCCAACGTTATGCGTCGCTGTAATCTGTTCGAACTGTTGCCAATTGTTAGTACTGACTGCTTCCCGCAGCACATAAAATGCTGTGTATAAATTAAATCCAATCCGTGATTATCTCGATTTTATGTAAGCAAGTAATGCAGCTAATCAAATGAAACTTTTCGAATTATTTCTGCCACCTAAGCATTATAGTTCCCAAAAGAGCCGTTTTCATAACATTCGAATCTCTAGGTGTGGTTTGTGAATAAACGCAGGAGGCTTTGTATGGCAACAATCAGATTAATTTTGTGTATGTAGATGTTTTTGAACCTTTCGTATGTTTCAGTCAACACAACAATTAGTGCCACTGGTTTCCCAAACTATCCTTTCGTCTGGTGTCGGTCGTATTTGTAAACCCCGTAGTAATAGTAAATCTGTTACCATACCTGGAATCTTCCTAATAATCACTTTAATCCAACATTATAATTTGACCGTATACTGTCTGTGTTATGTACCTGTGATGCAACTAGTCCCCTGAAGCAATAATTAGTGCCATATCCACATCTTACCTAAAGATTTTCAGTAAAATTTAAACTATAAGAAATCGAACTACAACAGTTCAACATAACCGTTGATAAATCATACGGAACCTAATCAGATAGTGAAGAGTGAGAACTTCATCGAATAAGTAGGATATTCTGTGTGAATACTCGTGTATAGCTATTTTTGACCAGACTAATCTACAAGTGTAGTTTGTGTCAGATTAAAATGTGTGTACTGATTTCATCAACCACTTGAAATCTAAGATACCTAACAGAGGCAAGTGTCGTAGGTTAGCACACCCGTTTTCTTGGTTTTGTTTACACCTGATCCCCCAACCTTGATTAGTAAGGCAATTTTTAGACCATTTCTCCATTTGTCACTTGCTTGATCTAATAAGCCACACTTCATGGGGGGTCAGATGCTAATGAGTTCATAGATATTCCATTCTTCAGGTTTTCTCAATCAGTATTCCACTTTTAAATGTGCTCCTTGTTAATTGGCTTTATTAAAAAAATCAAGTACTTCCACATTAATTCATATTACCGTTAGTGTTTTTCATTGACTTTAGATCTAGAATGGAAGTTAGTGTATGTTAGCAGTGCCTACAACCCAGCTTTAGACCAGACATTGGATTCCATCTTAGTTGGTCCAATTCCAGTTGGTCGTCATCAATTTTCTTTTGAGGCTAATGCTCCTGATCCAAAAATAATTCCTAATGAAGACATTGTTGGCGTAACAGTTGTGCTTATACAAGCTTTGTACAGAGATAAAGAATTTATACGTGTTGGTTATTATGTTAACAATGAGTACAAAACAGAAGAATTACGTCTTGAACCGCCAGCTGAACCTTTACTTAACGAAGTACGTTCACTTGAATAAACAGTTCTCTGTTTGATTTGTTCATCGCACCTTATATGCTTGTTCATTTTCATACGTAATCATTATCTGATATAGTTTTATAGTAGTACAGATTTTTTACCCACTATCTGTAGTTTTCCCTAAAGGAAGCATCTCTATTCGCTATTTTGTCCTTCGAAAACAGTGATAGGCAATCTATTTGCATATGGGGCAGTTACCTAATTTCGGGTCCATGGTTTAATGTTTATGCCGCCTGTACTAACCCTTCCACTTCTGTTTGGGCAGCTGGGTTGTATCGTCACCTCACATATACTTCTTAAAAGCCAAATACATTATTACACCGAACAAATGAAATCCAGATAACTATCATTAAAAGAATTTTAAAAAATGGTCACGGACAAATTCTAAAATAGGCTTCGAAACTTTTTCATGATCTTAACTTGTTTTATAAGGATTAGTTGCCTACCATTTGAGCATGAATCCAGAAGGGTGCAAAAGATTGTGGTGAACTATGACCTACATTTATGTATATTCTGTTCCTTACCACAGCCTAAGTGTAATATTGCAGGCTGGATCTGGCACTAATGTGCATCGGGATAGCTTCTTTGAAAAAGGGACCCAATTGAAAATAAAAAGTATGGAATTATTCCAAAAGTTAAGATTTAGAGGATAAAGACTGAATTCACTTGCTCAATTGCAACTGATCCGGAACAGAATAACAGTCAGTGACTATAAGTTATTACCATCTTGATCTGAGCACCTCTATCTTATTTCCAACCTATTGCTATGCCAACCCGCAATGCATGCTTAACACGTCTCAACCACTAGTCGATTAAGGTTTACAACCTCACCCCCATTCCTGTGTATAGCCTCAGTATACATCACTATACACAAACAGCTCTCGAAGATATCTGTGATCAGATACCTGTGGCCTGTCCATATAATTTATTATGGGCCACTCTTCATAACCGTAAAAAATATTGAGTACGCTGTTGTGCGGTATCAGTACCCCTTTATAGACAAACGGATATTGTGCCTCATATACAAGTCGATAAATGCCAAGTGACCATTACATTCTCGTCTCGAGATTTGGTCAGTCACGAACTCAGAACTTCTGAGGTAAGTAAAGTCATCAACCCACTTTTAATACTTCACTCACTAAGATCAAACTAGACTTCGACACGTACTAGGTCATGAAGCAACATTTCACAGTTAGGAGAACGTATCGCAAACATTCTTGATTGTTAATCAGGGCTTTAAAGACTGGATCTTATCAAAATCTTTATCTTTCTAGTGAGTCTCTGACTATTAAGTCAATTCATAAAAAGTCATACATTTCATTTTTAGGAATGTGCAACAAAATGAACAAAACGTGAGAAAGATGAGCAACCTTTACGAACATCACTTAATATAGTCAATTCAGATCATAATTCTCCAAAAGCTAACTCGATCGAGAGTATTTGAGCAACAAACCTTAGATCGGTCTATGTACCCTTTTGATATTCCTTTCAGTGAAAGACCACCAAAACTCCCTTGGTTTACTGGGTATGTTTCTACCTGGAGATCAAGGAATTGGGTTACATCCGGATGTTGATATGTAAATGTGTCCTTTAAAACCTGTACGGAACCGCCAATCGGACTTGTATTATCTGTGGTATGAGACTCACGAGCGCTGTGATCTAATGCTGATTATTTGTTGTTTTTGTTAGTTCCTACAATTTTGGACGTTAAATAATCATGACTAATTGAATGAAACTACACATGGATCCTATATCACAATCATTACATTTTCCAGCCTAAGTAGTAATTTCTACACCTCAGTAACCAACTGTAGATCCACGTACTTAGTTTAAGGCACATGATATAAGGTCCAATAATACCATGGAGATGTCCAAACTAAATTGGATGGAACTAGCGTTTGGACCTATAACTCAGTAATTAAAAGTTAAGCGTACCGACCAACTTAATCGATCAGCTCGGGACACTTCACGAACACAATAGTGGACTATGTATGCTATTCTGATAGGTTTTTAATCTTCGGAATAAAGTGAGTTAAAATTTGAGAACTGCATATATGTCAAAAGTATAATACCCATCAATTGGAAAATATACAAAGCATGCTTTCTCAGTCATAACTATGGACATGGGTGACAACTAGTTATTTCTTTTCATGATTTTTCGGTACAAAAGTATAAATGGAGCTAATAAGAGCAACCCTAATGAATTGAAGTATATTTTGACATCTGTAAGTGCATAGAAAAGCTAAATTTATAATGTTCTATCTAAAAATTTTGTGACGCTGATGAACATAATAACAATGTCTGATTCTTGATATCCCTATTCTTAAGTAAAAAAACAAATTGGTAACATTGAGTCCCCACTCAATGAATATCTTCTATAACCTAGTACATGAACTTAGAAGTGGTTACTGGTTTGCGCTATCGCTCTGAATAATTGGTATCTCGAAATGTAATTCTTCACTGTTGCCCTAATTTCGAATTTCATGAAGTTGAAACATGTGTTTCTTTATGTTTTCTGTCAGGATACTTCTGGCATAGTTTCTCAAAGCTACAAATAAGGGGACAATAAAATACACACAAATTGCATACATCTATGTCTTACACCATTTTAAATTCTAAAACTTAGTCAACATAGTCTGCCTTTGCACACAGCTTTGATCATATCGCCAACTTTTAAATCTAAAGCTAAAAGTTTTAGCTGAACCAAACATTTTTGTTCGTGTCAACGAACTAAGTGACAACAATGGCTCGGTAAATTCTATACTTAGCTTTCAATCATCTTTCCAATCCTTACTCCATATATTTTAGACAAGGTAAGTAGCTTAATAGACGGAAAGGTTTTATTTCAACAATTTCATTTAATTCAACAAAATCAAATTGTTGGTATATTGACTACTTTCTTTTGAGCCGCTCATTTTGTAATGGTGATTTGCTATTACTTTCCAAACAGCCGAAGAGAAATTAAGTTGTATTAAGAAATTCATTGTTATCACTGTCAGATCAGGTTCACAAATCTTGTAGAAAATCTTCAAAGTTCATGGGGCAATATCTTTGTAAAGACCGTATATGACAGAAAATGTTATACGCATTCCGTACATTATTTTTAGTAGCATGAACACCGACATAAACAAGTTTACACACAGACTGAAGCTAACTCATAAGTTACTTGTATTTGCATATTGTGCTTTCAAATGGTATTAACGAAAACTCGAAAGATGGTACCAAAGTAAATAACACAAAATATTCTCACTGTTTTCTGTTTATGACTTGCGTAGTTGATGCGGTGTATCAACAAGTATTCAAAAAAAAGAGCTTAGAAACTATCTATTAATAACTCATAGCACGGTGTAATGAATTAGTGGGTCTGTATGTACTCATTTACTAGGGAATTATCGAATAAACCAACTACTTTTGCTATCTTATAAGGATAAAGATTTGCTAGCTAGATATTGCTTCACCTTGCGATAAATTCAGTGCAATCTTAAATAGAAAACATTTAACAGTTCTGTATCAATTAAAGACTTTCAAAATATCGTTCTAGAAATTATATTATCTCTCTGTGGTTCCCATTATTTAACCATTATCAGTCCACCGCACAAACAGATAACCTAAAATTTATATCTTGGCTTTCGTTGTTGTCATTACGCAGTTAAAATGTATGGACCCATGTCTAGTAGTATGCTTACTTAAATTCTTTTGATAAGAAAGCTTTCTTAAAATGATGTGGTAAACAACCGTTTCAATTGTTTGAATTCTATTTTTTTCATTAAGTTCTCATGAATTTATCATAATTTCCAGCTGGAACGACATATAATAGCTTCAGACCCTCGTGTTACTCGCTTTCCAATTGACTGGGGTGATGGTCTCTTGGATGGGTGCCCAGAACCAGAACAGCCTACAGAAGATAACGAAGAGTCTAATTTACTGGGTAATGAAGAACAAGTGGAAAATATTTCTCAACTGGATCAGGAAAATGAGGATCAAAATAATAAATTGGAGCCATCTAGTTTTTGTGAAGGTCAGTCTGGTGTACAGTTTATAGAAAATACATCGTGTATGCCACTCCATCCTGTCCAGTCATCAAATGTTCCTGTCGACACTTTCTGAACTCCTTGATAAACATTACTCTCGAGATTGCATTTTATAATAAACTTTTATATCAGAATGTATCACACGTCTATGGTGATGTTGCTGTTGAATGTTCAACTTGCTATACTAGGTATCGCTCTTTTTTATGCCTACAAGATTTATTACGCTTTATATTTTTCTAACTGTACAATTGTTCGATGTACCTAATAACATTCTAATTTTATTCCTTTGCTTTTCAACCGTATTGTGAATAGTGGTTTGTCTGCTACATTGTTGAAATAATGGGAACAGTAGACAACTATATATAATGGAATAGGATGTAAACCTGTAGACTATAAATAGAAAGGAATTCGATAATTTCATTTATCTTCGTATTTATGTCAAGGACAAAAAATAATGTTTAACTCCTGGTGAAGGCTGACCAGATCATAACACACTATCAACCTAAGTCATTGACTAGTGATCTAAATCATTTAGGAAATGATAAGCTTCCTGACTGAAGCAGTTAATTTATCCTTAATTTGAGGTTTGAGGTATTTTGCCGTAAAACACAAAATCGACTACATTAGCGTACTTTCTACTAAGTATAAATCTCCTATTACTGAGTACTTGTCATCTGTGTTTACACTTTTCTTTAATCGCTTGACTATTGAAGGGCTCACTATATTCACTCTTGTCATTTAATTAATGTTTTCGACCATTATGTTAATGCAAAGTATATCAAGTTGACGCGGCCCGTACGCTTTACATTTATGTATCTGCATTTTAACCCTATTCCCATGGATCATAAGGTATAATATGTCCAAACGTTAATTTATGTGGTACAAATTTAGACCAAATACAACTGGTTTCGTAAATAAAATGTGTCCTGTCCAAGACAAATTAACGCTAAAAACAAATCCCGTTTCTTACTATCCTACGTCTGTCAGTAAGAACTGCAATTTATTTATTTGAAAACATAAACATTGGCACTAGGGGGCATCACAAAATAATGAAATTGTGAATGTAAAGTGCATATAATAAAAGAACAACAACGAACAGAAATTAGTGTGTGAGAGTGAAATAATAACAATAGTGGGGAAAACAGTTCGGTTAGGAAAATTACAACCAGAAAGATTTCTTTCAGTTAAACAAGTTACGTTCATTTTTCTAAAGAAAGTTATGGTAGGATCGCCACTGGCTTCTATACTGAGCCATTGTCTGATAACGTCCCTACGCACTATGTTGCACCATCTCTAGAAACCCAACTAGAGAGTCGTGAGGGACCAACAGAAACCAGTCCTGTATATCCTTCTTTCTTGTCACGACACTATGTCATACACTGACCACCTCCCCTTTTTCCAACCAGTCCCAGCATCGACCAATAATACACGACGTGGAATTTTCTGGGACGACATTCGTAAAACCATGTCCAAGCCACCGAAGTCGATGTTTCAAGATGGTGACACCAATTGGATTATCGTCACTGTGCCCGAACACAAGATGTTGAATCTCTGCATTATTAACATGGTGTTGCCATTGTATGTCAGCAATCCTTCGCAGACAACTATGATCAAACAAAGAGTCGTCTAAAACCCCCAACTCGGAGAGGCTAGGTCTCACAAGCGTAGAGTCAAACTGTTCTCACTGACGCGTTATAGATCCGACATTTTACTGCCAGAATAACATCACGAAGGCGCCAATGATGGCCCAGATTGATATAAGCCGCTCTGCCTTTCACTATACATGAATTGGTCCCGTCACTCATGCCATTCTGCTTCTCACCAGTCAATCTTTCTTGGGTTTTGAACAATCTACGAAGTATGACGTAAGCCAATAGTTTAGACGCAATTGAAATAGAATTGTCCTCCGATAGCTGTTGCATAGATAACGTGGACCTTATTTTCTTAAAAATAGGAACAACTATCGACTGATTTCATGATGTTGGAAGACTCTAACTTCCATGTCTCTGTAAATAGCTCTGTCAGTTCCTTAACGAGAAGGTCACCACTGTCTTTAAAAGGGACCGGAGGTAAGTCATCTGAACCTGGTGATTTGTTGTACTTCAAGAGTTTGAGTTCCATGCTTACTTCCACCTTGTTGAGTGGATCAGTTGTCATAGGGCATCGAGGTCAAGACAGTTTGATCGATGTTGCTGGACCAGCAGACCAGTTTAACTGCTGCTCGAAAAAGTCTACCCATCGTCCAAGACATCGGCACATGTTAGTGGTTGATATCCCATCATTTTCATAGTTCGTTTCATTCACACCAGAATTCTTTCTACCAGTGACTCGAATGAGTTGAAAGAGCTTCCGGCAGTCACCGGAAGCAGCTGCTGTTTCCAACTCGTTAGCATGTTCCGACCACCAGGCTTCTCGGTCCTTACGCAAGCTTGCACAATCTCATAACGTACAAGTCTACGATTATGGTCAAACTCACGGTCACCCTAAATAGACCGACGGGCTTAAGTGAGTTGTAAGAAGCCTACAGAAACCCAGTGTTCATAAACTGGACGTTTCGCGAAGCCGCAAGCGACATTACTCTCCATTTTTATGACATGTAATTTGAACCAATGCTCATTTATACTTTTCAGCGGGCTGGGAGCTACCCTTTAACCTAGCTCGGTTTGATATTTAGTCGCAACAGAAACTGAAATCGATGTTGCGATTTTCTAAATACATCGCCAACCCTATCTGTTGTCCTATCCACATTAGTGTGCGAATCTCGGAGGAGACCAGTTTGAATGGTGTATGTGGTTTCGCAAAGACTGTTTCAGTGTTCGTATTCGGTGGTAGCATTCAACTTTCGACCAGTCGGTGATTTGAGATCATTTAGATAGGAGAGAGTTTTCAACATAGGCGAGCTGCTGTATAAGTTGGAAAATAAAATGCGCGAAATGAGAATAAGGGGTAGTATATAAATGACGCGGTATAAAAGGAATAAAGACGAATGTTATGTGGTTGTGAATATGATTTGTCCGAATGCGCGTTGAAGCAAGAGTAGTTTTTCTAGTAGTAATTATTATTGGTTTGTATGGGGGCTTTGATACCGCCCGGTTGCCCCTGGATGGATCAACCCAGTTAGAGCATCGGACATTCACTTTCCGTCCTTTTAATTTCGTAAACAACACCCCCACTTTGAGAAGGTAGTGGGTAGGACTTCCCTAACAGTGGATGTATACGCGTGACCCTGTGAGAGCAGTTCGTGAAGGAGAGCAGACTCTCTTCACCCTCGACCATACCAGGGCATTTAGGGGCAAAATTGTGGAGTCTGCTGACCCGTAGTCACGAGCGTTATCCATTGTGCCACAGAAGTGCTTGAAGATAAACAGTTAATCAACTATCCTTGGGTAGTTTGAAATGACATCTAATGTTTTACAAGTTTTTGCTTTAATTCAGCTCGTACACTTGAGATATTAGTGTCCTAGGTTTCTTAACTGTTACAGTGGGATATTGTAGTCGTTATCTGGAATGTGTGTTTCTCTAAACGTCCTTGTTTCTTGTTAGTAAACAGCATTTTGTTGGGTCCTCTATTTTTTTACGGCAGAGTGCGATATGCAACAGATAACTCATACCTTGCCTAACTACCAGTCTAGTCGAACAGGAAATCTACTGTCTAATGTTAGTTAAACATTCAAAATGCAGGTCCTTGTACTGAGCTATGAGGCACACTTGTATGGGGTTTAACAGTATTGCTAAGCTACCAAAAACGAAATTGTTGGGATGAATACTGGACATAATGGTTAGAAATTGGACACATACTGTTGAGATATATGTTACCTATCTTCGCACGCGATGTATGACGAAGTAACAACAAGGTAGAAAGTATGTTAATGTAAATATTGGGGTATAACCAAGTTGTATATTGACATGTTATCAAACTTTAAAGTTATTTGGTGGTTTGAATATCTACAGGTTTATTCAACTCAAATCATACCAAAATAGGACAAACTTATTTCATTTTCAATTATCACGAAATACTTCTTTATCTGACTGGAGTATGGGTTAGGTCTAAAGAATCCTACTATTAAAGGAAGTCAGTAGAAGATTATTACTCTCCAAACCATGTTCACCTGTTATATGACAAGTTTGGGCAAAACAATTTTCACTGAATTGAACAGCACATTAGATCAATCCAAATGTGTTTCTAGGATTATATAGTTCAGAAACCTACTACATTCCATACCTTGTAAGTAACAAGTGTAATATTCGAAGCTATATACAGTATATATATAAATTCCCCCCATTAGTAAATTCGCGTACCATGTTTTATTTGCTACACTGAATGCATATGTCCATATATTTTTCATCTGGCCTTCTCGATTCTGATAAAGCTTTACTTCATCCTAGTTTCAAACCGTTTCCTTAAAACCAATTCTGTAACATATGTTGTGTCTTTGATTTCTGAAGTGTCAAGTTATGGTGAGATGCCTCGAGCCACAAAATTAATAATTTGTTGACAATTTGACAGACTTGAATTGGTATTAGCTACTTATTGTAAAATTTAATCTTCTACCTAGTTTAATGTAATTAGCACTGAGTCTTGATGGCTATACTCCTTAATTTTTATCGTAGCGGCATCATGTTTTAGGTTGACCAGGTATTGACATTCTTCACTAACCATTCACAGCGTCACTTGGTTTTCTATTCCAATATGTGATGGCAGTCTCGTTCGAGTACCGGTCTTCGTAAACGATTGAGTTTCAAGAGCAAATAGTAAACATTGAAGCTGGTCATAATGCAAAGCATGTAATTTGAATGGTTTGGACTGAAAATAAGCTCTCTCGGCTTATGTAAGGTAAACATCGGTTTTCATTAATTGGAGATAGTTATACTGGTTATAGAATCAGGATATTTGTTTACATAATATCTTATTTAAGATCCCGATAGTTTCACCATAACTCATATATTCACGAGTATATTTTGGTAAGATATAATTTCCATACTTTTGATGCTCATGGGATCCAGTTTTGTAATAGCAATCGAACCTTCTCTTCAACAGTAGCAGCATACTCTACTCGGAAAACATCTATTCAGCCAAACCGTAATTTGAATGTGATCATTGTGCATCAAAATCAAATTCCTGGATCGTACGAAGCGATGATTCTATATCTTTCTGCTCTGGCACAATTGTGGACTAAAAATGAAATTTTGCCGTTAATTTTCCAATTCACCGTTCTTGAAGAGCCTGTGTTTGTACTCCTGAGACAGTGGTAACTCTATTTGACCAAATAAAACAGTCATCTTTTATAATCTCCATTTGAGTCTCCATCACCAAATTGTTATGACCTTCAATCCTTCTTTAAAGAAGGAAGATTAGTTTGCTGTTTTTGTATTTTGATTAGATGTCGAGGACAGAAGCAACGGCATGGACCTAATTATCAAAACTCATCACGGCTTTAGTCAGTGTAATTGATTAACGTTCGGCTCAAAACCAACTGTGATTAGTGGATACAATGTTGTAGAATTGTGAAGGGTTCGGTAGCTTGTCTGGATAACACTAATTGTTGGTCCCACTCCAAATTAATGGATGATTCGTTTAGATGTTGTGCTCACATAATGTCTCATTCTGGTTTTAACCTACAGGAATATAAATTTGGATTTTTCCGTGAGTCTTTTAAGTGTCTTGAATCTATTTTTTTACAAAAGAGGTCATCCAGCAGGTTTGTATAATACAGATTCTATTAAACAGATATCAGTGCCTACACTACGGTCATTTCTTCGGATGATTGGATCTTGCAGTGTTTCTGTAAATTCTGTGAATAAATTGCATCATCTATTGAATCAATATTTGACCACCAATTCAACATGG